CCGGCCCGACCCGCGCCCGACCCGGCCCGACCCACGCCCGACACAAGCCCGAGCTGGCACCGAGCCAGCTCTAGCAAGAAGAATGCGTAGCACCATGCACGGTACATTAAGAATTAGTAGATTATGGGGCACTATCTCTAAGACGACATATCAGGTGGGTGTGTGACATATCCGGAGATAAGGATTAGAAAGGCCACAGTCATAATACGTAAAAATGAGCTAAATGTAAGAATCTTAATGCGTTTTCTTCCAAAAAAATATGCGCTAAAGAAAAAAATAAGAAAACAGAAGAAAATTAAGAAAAAATAAGAAAAAATAGGAAAAATTAAGAAAAAAGAAGAAAAAAGAAGGAAAATGGTAGTTTCGCAAAAATTAAGAGTGATTAGTGCTATGCATGCTTTTTTCCTCCCTGACAACGAAGACAGCGTCATTTTGTCGCCAGACGACGCCATTGCGGTCAGGTCTTCGGGTCTTTGCCCGTTGTTTTGCGGAGGAACCCGCTGACAGCGTGCCCGCTATATATCAGCTGCCTATATGATTCAGTGCGTGCCCGCTCAGCTTCTCGCGCTCTTGATTCTGCGGCGCGATCCCGCTGATTCTTCTGCGGCTTCCGGACCTTCAGGCTCTGACAGCTGACAGCCTTTGTGCTTTCTTCTTTTCTTGCGTTTTTTCCGTGGAACAACAGGCTTGGCGTTTGCCCCTGCAGCTGCCAACAGAGCGTCATCTGAATAGTCCACTTCCTCTTTCACAGTTGCTGCCGCAGAAAGTTCCGCTTTTGCGTGCGTTGCTTCTGGATCAGGTCTCTCATGGGACCTTGGGATTGGCAGCTCTTTGGTGGCCTCTCTTTCTGTCTCTTTTTTCTTTTGCGCGGTTTGAACCGCTTCCTTGTTGCCAGAGGGCAGCGCAGCTTCGTTGCTGCTACTTGGCGGCGCCGGCGCCGCTGGCGGTGGAGGAGATGCTGGGGATGTTGGGCTGGGTGGTGTCGGCATCTCTGCCTCAGTGGGGCTTGTTGCTGTGGCTCCGCCCCCTTTAGGATTTGCGGCCAGCGCCGCTGCCAGGTCACCTTGCAAGGCTTCTTGCACTCGCTGTCTCAGTTTTTCAAAAGCATCCGCGGGTCTTGTCGGAAAAGGTCTGTTGTAATAGTCCCATGCTAAAGGACCACCCCAGCACCCAGATCCCTTGCCATCGCCGGTGCTATTGCGGTCCTTGCCGCTTCCTTTTTGCAAGGTGCGCGTGGCGGACTTGCCGCTGTGGTCGTCCTTGCCGGAACTTGCTGATTTAAAGGAGCTGGAACGAGTACAGCTGATTTAGCCTCTTCTTCATCCTCCGGTTTTTCGTCCACTTTCTCCAAGTCGCTCCAGGCGCGCCATGCCGCTTCCACGTCAGCATGGTCACTGCATGCATCGTCCCAGCTAACGTCCCAGCCAACCCATCCTTGGGACCACTGCTGCACGCGCGGGTCTCTGGATGACGCCCGCTGTTCCCGCTTTGCTTTGCGGATTGCCTTGGCTGCAGCGCTTCGCCGCTCGTCTCGTGGGCCTTCTACGTGCTTCCACCCATGAAAATCGTTCCTAGTGTTCCATACCCATCCTTTTTTGTAAGGGCCTTGCTCGGATGGAGCCGCTCCCGTTGCGGATCCACCCGCTCCCACTGCGGATGGACCCGCTCCCTCTGCAGATCTACCTTCTCCACCTGCTGGGGTCTCTGTTCTCATTGGGGAAGTCGGCCGTGCTGGACTGCGGCTACGCCCGCTGCGTCTAGCTGCTGGGGCTGGTGACGGTGACGGGTCTGGGCTCCTGTCGCGCTGGGAGCGTCTTGTCCAACGCGTGCTGCTGCTAGACAACGGGCTGCGTGTGTCCCGGCGCTGCTCCCCATTGCTTTGGTTCCTCCTTGCCATCTCTGCAGCTTGATGGTCCGACCAACGGGTTCCCCGCTCGTCGTCCCATGCGGTGCTGTCGCGGTCATACCCGCTCTGATCCCACTCGCGCCTCCTATCATCCTGCCATGCTGCAGGCCAGGAACCAGAAACGTTCTCCTGGTCCCATGATCCCCCGTCAGACCTCCATTCGTCTTGGCGGGTCTGCCCGCTACTCCAACGAGCCTGGCTATGCTGCCCATGTTCAGATGTCCAATCGTTTTGGCAGCCATGCCAGCTACTCCAATCTTCTTGGCTGTGCTGCCAATTTCCAGATCCCCAATCCCTATCGCGGCCCTGGCCGCTACTCCAATCTTCTTGGCTGTGCTGCCAATTTCCGGATCCCCAATCCCTATCGCGGCCCTGGCCGCAACTCCAATCTTCTTGGCAGTGCTGCCCGCTGCCAGATCGCCACTCGTCTTCGTCTTCGCGGCGCTGCCCGCTGCCGCTACTCCATCCCCACCACGGCATGGCGCGCGCCGTTGGAAAAAAATGGGTGCTACCTGTATACCCTTTATAAACCAGGGAATATAAATATATATATATATTATATATAATATAAATATGATATATATAATATAATATATATATATATATAAATTATATAAATATTTATATATATATTTATAGCGGTGGAAGAGTAACTTTGACTTGAGGAAGTATCTTAAGCTTAGTGAACATATATGACCTTATGATGCTTAATCTTGGTGAAGAGTTGCAAAATATCTCGGGGGTATGGAAAACAAAATGGTCTGTGCCATGTGCTAACTTCTACATGACCGTGTGGTGGGCCTCCTTGTTCTGGTTTGCTTACCAGTGAAAAATATGCGCAAATACTCCTACTGGAGCATTCCTTTGAGTTGAAAAAAATCCCGGAGGAAAACATAACAACCAGAAGTCCATTCAAAAAAACATTTACTTTTGGCTCTGCTGTAACAACGGCACCTGCGACCGTGATGTTTCCAAAGATGTATCCTTCAACATGATCACGATGCTGATGATGATGATGATGATGGTGATGGAGATGGAGATGATGATGATGATGGTGATGATGATGATGATGATGATGGCGATGACGATGTTGATGATGTTGGTGATGATGATGATGATTATGATGATGATCATCATCATCATGATGGTGAAGAGGGGAAAAGAAAGAGGGTGATGATGGTGGTGATGATTCTGCTGATCATGCGGATGACAACTCTGATGATGATGGTGACGATAATGATTGATGATGATTGTGATTACGATGATGATGATGATGATGATGATGATGACGATGATGATGATGACGGTAATGATGATGGTGGTGGTGGTGATGATGGCGACGACGACGACGACGACGATGACGACGACGACGACGACGACGATAACGACGTCGACGACGGCGACGACGGCGGCGACGAGAACCAACACGAAGGCGAGGATGATGATGATGATGATGATGATGATGATGATGATGAGGATGAGGATGATGATGATGATGATGATGATGATGATGACGGTGATGGCGAGGAGGAAAGGATGATCATGGTGATGATGATAGTGACGATGATGATGATAATGATGATAATGATGATGATGATGGTGATGATGGCGATGATGATGATGATGATGATGATGATGATGATGATGATGATGATGATGATGGTGATGACGATGATGATGACGATGATGAGGAGGAGGAGGAGGAGGAGAGGATGATGATGAAGGACAACAACAAACAGACGAAGATTTTGCTGATGGAGAATATTAAAGATAGAAGGCGACACAAACTGGGCACGAAAAGATTTTACAAACATCACATGAGGAATGGCATGCTCCAAGCCCGAGCGTAGAAGCTTGATTTGTAACCGAAACGAACTTTGAAAATAACGCAGGCTTGTTCACATCGGAAGCAAGAGTGACTTCAACGCTTTCGTGACATTAGATATAGCCTCTAATGGCTCAAACCTCCAACGTTTGTCTTCTTACCTTGTTTCAAATCTGTGACTAGGCCACTGTTTCAAATCTGTGATGGTGCCAGGCCACTGTTTGGTCTTGCGAAATTTAAAGACTCCGGGATCCGGGTTCAGCTTAGCGAACCGAGCCACTGTTCTCAGAATGATGCTGAATTCACACTGTTGAATTCATTCGGAAACCATGCTGAAAGATGCTGAAAGCCAAGCAAAGAGACATCAATCTGAGTCAGAAGCAACCCTAGAGCTGCGGCTAGAGCCACTACTAGAACTACTTCTGCTGCTGCTAGTGCTACTTGAGCTCCTGCTTTCATGAGAGCCCAGTGAAGACTGTGGTGAAACAGCTGAAGCTACCTTTGCAGCGGTCTTAGAACTAGACGCGGATGCTGCGCCGCTTCCGCACTCCGTCGCCGCTGCTGCTGCAGATAGAACTTCTGCTTTCCTGTTTTTTGGACCCTTATGTTTTGCCGCTGCTTTCTTGCATGGAGCCTTGGCCTTTGCTTGATTTTTTGCTTTCGCTTTACTTTTTGCTTTGGCCTGGGGATGGGCCTTGTTTTCTGCATCAGGCGTTTCCGCTGCATCAAGCTCTTCATCAGTGGCGGGTTTTCCACTGGGTGGCGTCAATGCAGACAGCCTTATGTCCAAGATTGCCTGTGGCAAGACATCAGATGACTGCAGATACGCGGACGTGTGGTACCGCTTCCTTGTGTGATGCGGGGCCAAGAGACACCATGTTTGAAGTGTTCGTTTCGCTTCCTGCTTGGTTTGTTCCGTAGGTCCAGCCATCATGGCACGGGTACAGCCAGTTCGTTCACTCAAACGATGAAAGGGGCAATTTGCCTGCCATTGGCCATGTGGAGGCCTTTTTTCTGGACCTGTGAATGTGAACCGAAAAGGTCCCCAGTCAAAAGAATCCGGATGCGTTTCCGTTACTTTTTCTTGGCAGCGGGCCTTCTTCGCCGCTGGAAACGCAGAGTCAGAAGGCTGCGCAAGCCGCTTTGGTGGCGGAAGCTCCGCTGCTTCTGCTGCTGCTTCCGTGGGTTCAGAGGGTTTGGGCAGACTTGGTTCTGCCTCCTTCTCGCTCTCGGAAGATATGCTTTTTGCTGCGGAGAAAGAAGCAGGAGCAAGGCTGGGGCTATAAGCTAAGGAAGGCGCATCTCTGTCTTCTCCGCTCTCCACATCCTCCTCAGGCACAAAAGAAATACTCTCGATAGAATCGAGATCTGAAAAAATACCATCTGCACAATCATCGTCATGCCCTGGACATAAAGCAAGCATTTTTTGCATGGGATCTGCGTCACCGCTTTGTGTCAATTGGATCTGGGGGTTCAAGAAATTCTGCGGGGCCACATCTAATTCCAACTGTACAGCTGCGGGTTGGTCCGCTGCATCTTGAATTTGCAATAATTGACAAGGCTCTTCTGGAAGCCGGCCATCACTGGTACCTTCCAAAAGCTGTCCGTAATATTTCTCGAGCTGTCCATGATGAAGTTCTGCCAAGCACCCTTGATCAAACAGGCTTTCAGAAGCGCACAGCGCTTTTAAATACGCAATATTTTCTTTGCTTTGACTTTGCAACGTGTACATGTAGAAGACCCTGTGCAAAGATCTTGCAGTCACTGGCGGCAGAAGCTTCTTCTTAGCCCTGTCCTTTGGTCCCCGCTGCAGGTTCCAACCCCTGTGCTGTAATATTTGCAACAGCTCCCAACTGCTACACTCCTCAAGGTCCTCTACTGGCAGCGCAGCAAGCTCAGCCGCTGGTTTGAAACCTCTCTGAGGCCGTTTCACTGTATACATGTGTTTCAGATGGAGGGCGCCTTGTGCGGTCAAGGACCACAAGGATGCATCTGAAGTGGTTTGTCGCTTTTCAATAGCACCTGCAGCGTGCAATTCTTGCAGAGCCGTGTGACTTTCTGATTTCTCTACTGGCTCCTCCACTCGAATGCATTGCTCGTGCGAGCATTGCGGGAAGGCATTTTTCAAGACAAAACTCTTCAGCAAAGAAGAGGCCTCTGCGGAAACTTCCGCATTTTGCAAAACAAAGACAAGTTGAGAATCATGAGCCCATTGTCTCATAGACTCTTTCAAACCATCGAAGTCTTGGGAAGGTTGGCTCCCTGCAAGTGTTCCGGACAAAAGGCTCAAAACGCTGACTTCGTGCGAAATGCCGCAAGCAGCGTCAGGGTCGACGCAGACACACAAACGGCCTTCGCCGCCTTGAGCTGATGTCAACATGGCAGCTCTATGTATTGTAACGCATATGTCCGTTGGCTGCAGCTGCTTGGATCCCGCCGCTGGCAAAGCAACACCTTTCAGATGAGCAAGGCGGCTGTGCACAAGCCGGACAAACACCACATTCTGCATCGGGCTGTCAGCAAATTCAGCTTCGACAAGATTAGCTGGTGGTGCGAAAGGAGAAGCAACCAAAGCCTGGGCCTGAGAAGCTGGAGCATCAGCAGCAACGCATGCAATTGGCTGCATAATGTAAGGCTCTGCTTGGATCTGCAAAGGATGCGCGGCAGGAGGCAGAGCAGAAGTCTGCTCAATTCCTGGGCGCCGCTCTAAAGAATCCTTCAACCCTGTGAGCCGCAAACCAATGTGAGAGAAACTATATAAGCTTCCCCGAATCAGCTTGCTTTGCAAATGATGCGCCATTGCATGCAGTTCCATATTCTCCAGAGACCACCTCTGATTCTTTGATGTCCACCGAAGCTTCTGCATTGCGGCTGACACCCGCTGCTGCTTTTTCGCTTTTCTTCTTGCTCGTTCTTGGCAAATTGCCTTTGTCTTTGTATATTGCGATGCTGGGTCCATGGAATATAATATGGACGCAAGCACGCCCCATTTCATTCGGACTTCGAATTTGCGGCCCTCCGCTTCTTGCCACAAAACATGGTTGCTTATCCCGCATTTTTTCGCAAAGATATCTGGATTTGTGCTGAATTGTTTGAAAATTTCCAGCAGTCTCGGCAGTGCTTCTGGGCCTTCAAGAATTGCCCGGATCTCGGCAATCCGGAGCCGGCAGCTGATGTACGGAGCAGTCAGCTTTCCTCGGTGTACGGCGTGCATGTTTGTAATTGCATGATCTGCTTCTTGCACGCGTTCCACGACAGGAATGAACCGCAGGCCATAGACAATGGGACTTAATGTTGGGAGGTCACCCAATGGCGTGCCACAGATGAAGGCTTCCAACTCTTGTCTTCCCGGGGTGCCTTTCCTGAAGCATTTCAATGTCAGTCTGTGGTGTAGAGCATGCAAGTCATCCGCTGGGTTGGTCGTGCTGTCCGCTGTTTCGTCAAATTGAATAAGGGCATCTTGGGCGATCTGCTGAGCAACGCTCCTTTTGCAATTCAACGCGGCCAACTTCCAAGGAAAAGTTTCCCAGCATTGCAATTTCTGCCGCAGGTACGCTACAATGAATGCTTTCCCGCAAGAAAATTCTGTCAAAGCGGCACTTATTTCCGCTTCATCTGTGCATTGGTTGTGTTGCAGTAAGTCTTGCGTATACTC